GGATTGGTGCAAACACAAAGTTGACATACAGTTCTAGCAGAAGAAAAGTTGGAAGGTCCCCTTATTATAAGAAGCTTCTCTACACTTCATGATGTGTTGCTGATTGGCATCAAGGAAGAGTGCATATTGGAAATTGATTTCATAAGGAGACATAAATGTGAGACAAAGCTAGCTTCAGATAACTTCACAGTCTAGCAAAGGAAATCCCTATTTATTAAAAGGCAATTACCATATAAAAATTTGAATTCCCACTGACAACTAAGAAGTTAAATACTCATACAAGGAGTTACTAGGAATAATTCTTCATCTAGTGATTGGGACATAGTAGAACCAAGAGTTCCAGCATGTCCTGAGGTATTGGTGTTTGGAAGCACTCTCGTGGATGTGAAGAATGAAGATGTCATACATGATTTTATCCAGAAAAGACTAAAATCAGCCTTTTATAAAATGAAAGGTCATTATGATGGATTTCACTGAGATGACATGGTACAACTACACAGTTCTTGTCATAAGAAAAAAACTGCCAAGTTACATAGATGTTCAGAAAGGTCAAACACCATATTGAAAAGAATCAAGGATGTGGTTTACAGTCTCTATAGAGACAAATAGAGAGTGATTGTATTTGGAAGTATATCAGTGAGAGAATGGCCTACTGGGTAATTAAAGAGAAAATTTGTCAGTATAAACTCAATCTGCTGAGGAATCCAGTAGATTCAGTCAGTCACCTACCTAGGAAGGATAACACCAGCAACAAGACAGTCAGTAACAGCAAGAGGCTATCCCATTTGTATACCAAGGGCCTCAAAAGAGAAGATTTCTAAAAAGACTTGGTGAATGGACAGTTTAGTGCAGTGGTTTATTTTGTATTAAGATTGCTCAAGGGCTTTCACAATCTAGGAAGGGAGCAGTGTTGTAGAATATATTTTCAATATTTTAATTCTGATGTTAGCTAGAGGGCACATGACATTAAGATCAAGTAATTTTATGGGATTTGGCCTAGAATGTTCTGGATGACATCATGAAAAACTACTAACTTTGGCTAATTTCTAGAAGTGAGCCATCTATTATAAATAATAGTTAGTAGAGTGAAGTATTAAGCAAAATGTCAAAGTGAAGTATTTATTGTGTGAATACCGAGTAGTTTTAATCGAGTATAAGTCAGTTTTCAATTTGTAAAATGGCAGTCATTCAGTGAAGTATATATCCAGTTACTTGACCAATTAATCATGAAAATGTACAAGTATATTTACTTCTACATTAGTAATAGTACCATAAGCAAATTGTTTATGTAGAAACGTCATTTGTAAGCTTAGGCCTACAAGTTACCACAGCGTACAAGGAAGGTAGCATGTAGAATTGTTAAGGAAGAAATAAACTAATTTGTTATGATAGAGTGGACTTTGAATCATTTTCACCAAATAATTTAAAAGAACCTATTTAACAAAAGAACAATGTTACAACAATGTATATGTCCTGATAGTATTTAATCATTTTTCTATTAGAGACATGATTGAATGTTTTACCTTGCTATAAAGAAAGCCATGAAAAGTTAACAAATCAAAAAATTTTTAATACCACAAATATGCTAAACGAATATTTTCGTCATATCTTAGAATTATTTATTTACAAAATTAACTTCAAATAACACCTTATTGATAACATTAAAAGTGGATGAGGTGAGGCATTTAATTGAAAATACAGGATTATTCAAATAAAACAATGATAGATCTGGTTTTTATTCATCTTAACAACATCAACTGACACATCAATGGTTTTGAATATGAATACATGAAATATTTTTAAACATCAGGTAAGTTGGTTTAACCAAATGAGTGAGAGCTCATGGTGTCAAGGGGCTCACAGTGGTTATGCAGTTTTTAATAGCCTTCTTAGGTAATTTTTAAAGTTGGAAATTGTAGTACTTAAAAATTATTCTAATTGGTAAAATAATACTTTGGTTGGTAAAATTTCAACACAAAAATAAGTGCTTGTGGAGAAATGGAGACCATCAAAACTAAAGTTACCAAAGAGCCCACTATGGTCTTAATGTGGCCCTGACCTCAGTATAATGGAAACTATCTATCTGATGCACTCATGTAATTCACCCAAAATCTCTATTTTGTGTACAGTGAAAAAAATTTCATAGAAAATAACTTTGTTATAGTTAAAGCTGGGCCCAGATTACACACTTTTTTTAATTACTGATAATAAAGTATTAGACATTATCATATTGATATGTTGTGGATAATACATGATCAAAGATGTCACGTATTCTTCCTTTTAATAACTTAAGTATTGACAAAAAAAAAGAGTATAAAGACAAATAAACAAAAAAGAAAGCTTGTCTATCCTGTTTGAACAAAAAGTAGGTTTTAACTTGATCACAAAAAATATTTTAAATACATTAAATATTATTTTAAATAAATATAAAATTTAAGAGGAAACTATGAATTAAAAGGTATTTTTGGTACTTCAGTAAAGAAGCACATTATGCTAATATAATAATAGGTAGGCAAACAACTATTTATAAGCATTGTAAATACAAACACAATAGTCTCTGGATATATATATCGAAATGGTACCTTTTCTATGAGGTCACAAATTACTGCATTGTTAAAGTAGTCCACATGCACCCACTGGATCCCCTAGTGACCAAAATAATAAATAAAATGTAGAAGACAGAACTTCAAAAAAATTTACTGACATTGTTAATAAGTGAAAATTTTAGAATAATGCCTTTTGTTTTCAATGGATATTTTCATTATTTTTTATTATTTCTCACCTTTATTTGATTTCAAAATCTATCTTTCTTTCTAACTTTTTATCATAAAACTCATTATTTCCTTAAGGTAACCAGTGACTAAAAACCAACCAGCTTATTTTATTAGAGGTTTTGAACAAGTGATAATTTGTCAATTGGAGTGAGGATTATCTTGTAAAAAAATAGGTTCTTAATTTCGGATATTATTTTTAAGCTACCTTGAGTAAAGTCATAATTTGAACAATAAGATAATTAATTAAGTTTATGGTTGCAGTTGACCTACTTGATTTAATAGTTAAGAGAATGAGAAGAGACTTTATCAGACCTTAATTTATATGAATACTTTAATTTTTTTAAAATTAACTTTATTAAATATTATTTTTCTGTATTTTGTTTCACAGACTCATCCTTAGATTTTTAAAACCAAGAATATGTTAGGCTTTTGAGGATGAGAGTGTCTTAACATACTTATGTATATTAAGAAAATTAATCTTTCACATTAAAGAATTGGCATTTAATTGAAAAGACAAACATGCATTCAGTGTGTGTGTGTGTGTGTGTGCATTCAGTACTTAGAAAGCTTATTTCAATTCGATACTTTAAGGCTTACCTCTCTTATGTACTCTTCTTGCTCTTGTTTCAGTGTAAGTTCAATAAAAATCTGTTGGAGCTTCTCATTGCAGTAGTTTATAATGAATTGCTCAAAGCTATTGTGCTATAATTAAAAGATAAGAGCTCACAAATAGCCACAATGAATTTCCAGTTAAAGGGAAAAAATGATTAATCTTACAAATTATTAATATACAGTTTAGGTATTTGTTTGTCTCAATCAAATCCCATTTTTAAAAATTAAGTTTAAGCATCTGTGCCTTGAAATTAATATTTCCCCTGCCTGAAAATGCATTTCACATAGATAATCACCTTTCCACAGAACAATTAGCTAAAACCCCAAATTGAAAAGATGGTGTAAACACTGTTGTAAAGAAATAGATTAAAAAAAGACGAGTTATTTTCTGAGACTATAGCAACAGAAATGGAAAATGCAGGGAATGTGTTTCACTGGTTGGGAGGGGTTACCATCTCAAACAGGGAATACGTTTTGACAAATACAAGTGGTTGTTCTGAAGGGTTCTGTTGAAGAAACTTCTGGCTTTTTGCTAAAGTGTCGCAAAGGCGGGTGGAATAAGAAGGCTGTTCAACCACCCTATATATCCCAGGAGGTTAGCAGACCATGAAAGTTAAGTGGCTAGGGCAATATGTCAAGCCATACAGTATACAGTGAGAAATACTTACAAGAATACACAAGTTAAGGGATGAATCATCTTAGACCTGCATCCCAAGGAGAACTGAAGACCCATCAGACTGGTCACAATCACTTGGAATGGTCAGTTCTTAATGTTGAGGTGGCTTGTATTACTCTTCTAGGTTAACAAATCTGCCCTAGTTCCAGTTGAGAGGTACATACACTTACCAGTAGGATTTCACCGACCAAAAAGGAAATTCTCCATATAGATACCCTAGTGGATTTGTACTGGGGAAACAAGGGCTTTCCTGCTTTACTGGAAGAGATTGGGAGGGTGGAATTTGTGTAAGAGAGAACACTGGAGGGATATTAGACCAAACAGGAATAATTTCATCTGCATAAGGTCCTGCATGAGAGACTGTGCAATGGGTTATTATGAATACAGACAGCAAGAGCTGTTTTATTGAGAGGTTGTTTAACCATTCTCGTTTTCATACAGTACAACTTGGAAATTAATAAAAATATATTTATGTACTGTTGAAATACTTTTGCAGAAATTCCCATCTCAACTGAGTAGTAGCAGACAAATCTCGAAAAGTATAAACCACCACTGAGAAAATCCATCTGTAATTCAGAAAGCAACGAGTGCAAATCACTTTTGAGATACAAATCACACAGACATGAATGAAGAACCTACAACTCTTTACCTGAGTATTTTCTCTGGCATATTAAGTTTATTTTCTGAGCATTACACACGTACACAGAGTAAAATGCATAGACCAACTCTCAATTTGACCAGAAGAATCACTCTTGCACATTGGCTGTAGTGCATGACACTCTGTTGTAGCATCCAGTCCTTGCATTATGAAAAATCTGAAGTATTTCTGTTTCAGGGATCTTGGAAATGCTATCTGCATGACAGATTGAGTTCCACATTTAAGTGGATCATATAAACAATACAATATAATGTGCACTTTTAAATGCTCATACAAGTACCAGATGTTACATGCATCTGTGTTGCATTCACTGATCTGAGAAGCTATGTTTCAGCTTTCTCCAAAGTAAGCAATGCTCAAGCTATACCAACGTTTTTTGTGCTTCTCTCAAAGTTCCTGATTTACCAATCAAATTGTATATTCATTAGTGGCATACTTATTGCTTTTTTGGTTTATTCAATATTATTACTGTTGCAATGACTCTTATATCAACACAATGACCTGAATCAGGATGTTCATTAATCAAGTAAGCATCCTTGTCTGGAGAAACATTTCATGCTATGGTACTGCAAGATGCCAATGGTGTGCAACAAAACTGAACTCCTACAATATAATCCAGTGTGCTCTTATATCTTCAAGGTGCTAAAATTCATAAGTCATTTCATTCACACTTGGTTTACTCAGACAATGGATTTTCTATCATAAAAGTAATGATGATATTGCATGCCAAGTACCACAACTATACGCAGTTCTTTCTTGTCAGGCAGCAATGACATTCTGGAGTTGTCAACATAATATTTACATGCATGGTTGAAGATTCTACACCTTTCTGAACTGGTAAAGGTACTTCTTTGATTCCACTATTATTTGTCCATGATAAAAGTACAATCCTATTAAGCATAAGCCAACACCAATACATTAACTATAGAATATTTTAGGACTGAAATACCTGTTCACAGTGCACAGTCCATAAAAAATTTGAATAAGCTTCAGTCTGTGCAGCTTTTTTTAGAGGTTGACCATAAAACACCAATAATGTGTTGCTAAGTTGAGGAAACTGTGAATTTCATTTTTAATCACAAGCTGGACTTAGACTTTAACTAATACAATTTTTATAGAATATATGGATAGTTCATGTCTGCCTATGATATAACCAAGAAATTCTATGTGTATTTACTTAAATTCATGTTTTCTGAGCTTCTGTTTCAAACCTACTTTTTTAACTGCTAAAACACCACTCTCAGATCCTCATCAATAGCATGTGCCCAAACACCAGACATCACTGATATTGCAAACCATGTAATGTGAGATTCATCAGCAACCCAAAATTAATTGTTAAAGACCAAATGACATGATTGGAATTTATAATATCTATCTTGAGTGCTAAAACCAGTCTTGAGTCTACTTTCATTGTCCATTTCCACTTGTCAGTAATAAGACAAAAGGTTTCAAGAGGTGAACCATCAGAATATTTCCATTGCATCAAGACATTCATGTTTGTAAAACAACAGAAATGCATTGGCCTATGTTGCTGATGAATGCAGTCAACATAGAATCTTGACTTCCCTTACTTTTTCACATCACCTTTTGGTGATGATCAAGCACTCTGTGATGATTATATTACTCCATCCTTCAGTATCCCTGTCTTCATCTACACATGAAATCCAGAACAACAACCTAACCAGGTCAGGTTAGGAGAACACTGAGCATAAAATCCATATGCAAAAAATAAACATGTCCCTCAACCATTCATATAATGAATGTGAAATTCCCCAGTCCAGTCATGATTAATACATATCAAAGCCAGCCAGACAGAATTAACAACATTGATTAAGTACATCTAGCTATACTGAAGTTTTAAAAAATTACCCAAATAAAGATATTTCATATTCTGAACTATAAAACGGTTTAGTTTATAATATGTGCATATCACATTCACAAGACAATTGGAAACTGTGATAATTAAAATAGCAAATTCAAATTAATAAAGTTTCTTATAAAGTTAAGACATAAAGTAAACATATATAAATATATTTAAGATTTTAACATATTTTACACTATTAAACTTATATAAAATTGAATGAAGGTTTAAAATAATAATATTAAAACTTACCTCAAAAACCTCAAAACCATAAATATCTAAAACACCCAAGGACTTTCTTTTTCCAATCCTTTTAGCCTAATAATAATAATAAAAAATGGGGAGAAAAAATGAAGTCAATTTACCTATTTCTCTATTAAAACAAATAATCAAGAGTTTGGATTTTTTCATATTTAGATTGTGTAAAGTGTGAATAACCTGGTGAATTAAAACGAAAACTTACATTACAATTACAGTGAACTACAATGTCTTCCTTCTATAGTGTGGTTAGCTGTTACTCTTCTCACACCGTGAGTCACAGTAATTACCAGGGTCCGAAATTCGCGTTGTTTAGTCAGACCTGACCAGCTAGTAGGCCCATAGGCCGACTAGAATAGCAAAAATAAGCATTTTTCTTATTTTACCTTGTCATCAAATGTGCATTTCTATGCTTTTTTCTTAAAACCTTAGTTGTGTTTTTGTCCCATGAAAGTATCTTCTTTACTACAATCTTCCAAGTGAAGCCTCTACCTTTGTGGGGATCCCTAGCCTATTTTTAAACGTTATGGGGAATTCCTATGATGTCTGAATTTAAGAGGAGGTTCCTGGAACATGTGAATGTCAGGATCGATGCAAAGTATGTCGAATATAATAATTTGAACGGAGAAATACCTTCTGATCAGTATTAAAATAGTAACCTCAAGTCACATTACTTACGTGTTTATCTGCATTAATGTAAATATTATTTACTTTCCAAGAGTGATATAATCAAAACTATTGTATCCAGTTAAAGAGATTTATCTAATGTTACACAAATATGCATATACATATTATCAGTTGTATCCTTCTTTAAAAAAATTCACATCTGCAATTAATAAAATGTTATGAACACGTATATACATTTTCTTCAACTAGACCAGTTATATATTTTCTGAAGAACCAGTTAGACATTTTTCGTATTTCGGAACTAGATATTCTAACTCGGGAATGAGGAGATATCTGGGATATTATAGGTATATTAATTTGAAATATTTTGTTATCAAAGATTATCACAAGAAATTTTGAAATGGACATTGAAAGTTGATATTTGAGAGACAGTACTCATTATTTAAGGAGAGTTATTTTGTTTTTGTCATTAAGGGCATCTTTAGCCTTATAGGTGTTATCTATTTTGACTTTCAATAAAGCCTTGTTTTATACCTCTATCTGCAATGTTGATTCCTTTACCGCAGGAAGGAGAAAAACTTAAAACGCCGAGATTGTAAAATGAGGTTTAATTAAAAATGTTTTGCAAAATTGAGGGAAAAAACAAAGACAATTGTACGTTTCACAAAAACTTCATTCAACCCCAGTAAGGGCATCATCAGGTCGTTAATAAATAAAGTTTTTGTGAAACGTACAACTGTCTGTTTTTCCTCAGTTCTGCAATAATGGAGTTTCTTCAAGTACCAACGGTTTCAAGTATCTATTATATAAAATATAGCTTACTCGATGTTTCACTGATTCTCGTATTTGTAATGCATTTTTGTTCTTAGATATTTTGTAAAGCTTCTTGACCATTAATATTTGCAAACATTCTAGATATGTTAGGACTACTTTCTAAAATAGTGTTATCATCGTACTAGCAACTCCCTCTAGCAAACAACTAACTTAAAACACTGACAATATAGCTTACAAAACAGCCCACTTCCTGGATTATCAAAAAAAAAGGGTAATACACAAATAAAACACTGTCTATTCACCAAGTCATTTTGGTGGTTTTAGTTTTTGCAGATTATGGCATACAGACGGGATGGTCTCCTGTTCTTTGTCATCACTTGCTGTCCTGTCACTTAGGGAGTTCTTTTTAAGTAAATGGGCAAGCAAATACTTGATGATCATTTGGAAGTGGTCTCAACAGGAACCCTGAGAAGATTATTCTCTAGGGGTACATAGTTGCTATACTCTCACTGGTGTACTTCCAAAGATGAACTGTGAATTATCTTTGACAGGGACTGCTTGTCCTTCTGAATATCTTTAAATCCACATCATTGTATGGTCCTTCCAAGCACCCACTCGACTTTCTTGCAATGGGAATTCTTCAGCCACATCATGTCACCTCGATGAAATCAAGTATTTTCAGCGTTAACATCATAGTGATTTTTATTTTATTCCAAACCGATTTAATACTTTTTCGAGTAAAGGCATGTATGACAACATGCTGGAGTGTTTGGTTCCACCATTCCCCAGTCACTAGATAATAACTTATTGCTAATAACTCCTAGTATGAGTATTTCACTTCATGGTTGTACAATGACCACCCTCCTTGTTCCCATAGAAATCCATAAAAACCACCAAACATTAGTGGCCACCTTATCGAACACATTTGGAGTGTCACACCAAAAAAGAAGTTTTTAATGCAAAGTTAAGGAGTTAAGATCATTTAAATACACATCTGTTTACTCAGGATGGAGGATGACTAGATTTTAACAGTTTCACAATCTATGACCAGGAAATCCTTAAGCAGTACATGCCAGAAACATCAATAGAGAATGAACTTCTAGTAACAAGGGTAGAAACAGAGGGTGACCCATTATGATCGACTTTAGATAGGGTGACCAGATTTTCAAATCATAAAATTGGGACACACACTCAGATTTTCGGATCTCAAAATTAGAACCCCCTTTTTTTGGGAGAAACTAATTAGCAATAAATAATAAACATCATCAATTAAAAATGGTATTTTTACTTACATTATCGTTGCTAAAGATACTTCTCTGAACATGTGATTTTTTTCGAGCAACTTCTCAAAAAATCTGAGCAAGTATGATCCACATTCCCCCTTGATGTACTTTAAATGAAGGCATCAGGGCTTGAAAATCGAACTTCATTTCTTTATTTTGGTGGGAATAAAATAACGTGGTCGGTGACGTATGTAATATCGACACCATGTTGTCTGCAGAGACGTTTTCAACAGTGACATCATGTGGTCTGCTGCAGCCTACCTTATGATATAGCCAACTTCAGAGGAAGTAGCAAATGCTATACTGAGTCATTGCAAGCTGTGTGACAATTTTCCTTGCTAGCAGTTAAAATATTAATATATGTTGATTCATGGTACAGAGTAGAAGTATTAAAAAGTTATATAAATTACTGACAAAAAATGTAAACTGGGGCATTTAGGCATCTCGAAAGGTTCTATTGGGACATCAGAACAACATTTCAAAAAGTGGAACGTCTGGTCACCCTATCGTTGGAGGTATGTCGGCAAGTTAACAGCAAACTACTATATAACATCAAAGAACACATTTCCAAAGGCAAGTGTGCATGCTGAAGAGTCCAAGATTCCTGTTGAGATCATTTTCAGAGTAAAACCAAGAATGAAGCCATCAGTGGATTCCCTTACCATCTACCAGAAGATAACTCCAACAGCGACAAGATGCAAACACTGATAAAGAACAAGAGTTCATCCCACCTTCGTTTCATAAGCCAGGAAAAAGAAAACTGTCACAAAGATTTAGTGGGTGAACAGTTTAGGGACAGTAAATAAGAAAAGAAAGATTTTGATTTGTTTATCAAATTTTGATTGTATTTTGTTTCACACGTTTCATTGATGATTGTAATGTTTATACTTAAGAATATAAATGTTTTTGATTATCAAGAGTTAATTTATTGTTTATTACGAAATTTGAATTTTTAATATACCATCGTTATTCTTGTGTAATAGCACTTGTCAACGGACTTCACAATCCAGGGAGTGTACAATGCTATAGACTGTAATTTTGCTTTTAATTTAGAAATGTCCACTGATTTTGAATAAAGGGAGTTTTTAACTGCATGTTATGAGTACTTAGCAAACAATGACTAGAACGTTCGTAAAAATTGAGGAAACGATTTGAACAATATAAAAAACGCCAATTACACAACAGTAGGGTGGAGATTTGTGATCGATTATTGAATCACCTTGTTAGTTCAGCATTTTAAATTCAGAGTTTGTGTCTTCAACGAAGTACTAGAGATACGAGAAAATTAATAAGGGGAATCTCTATTTGTGAAGTTAGGCTTAACGATAGTTACTTGGAAATTATAGTTGGAGAAATAAAACTCCTTCATTATTCTGAAGTGTACTGGATTTTGCTGTTCTTATTACATTTACTTCGTGCAAAGCTACGTAATGGGCTATTTGCTCTCTATCCACCGCAGGGAATCAAACCCAAGATTTTAGCGTTGTAAGTCTGTAATTTTAACTGTTGTCCCATCGGGGAACTTAGATGTTGCATTCTTTGCTTTACATAATAATAATCATGGTAGTACTACCTATGTAGGGACTGCTCGAATTGTTCATCGAAATGGTATTTTAAGTATATCCTCAATAGGTCATCAGAACTTTACAATACTATACAGTGCTTCCATTTATAACAATATATATTTAATGACAGAGACACATGTTTTGGGAATGTCTGTAAATATCATAGCAAAAAGTTTGAATTTCTTGTTCTTCTTTCCTCTGCTTCTTTTTTATTACATAACTCAAAAACAAAAACAATTGTGTCAACCAATTTCACTGAGGTGACATAGTTTCAAACGGAGTATCCACTTTTATAAGTATTATTAATAACTAGTAGTAATTTCAAAAATCACAATTCTAGTCTAAACGATGTTATCATTACCCCTTGAAGTGTTTCTTTAAAAAGGTTTAGTACAGCGTGAAACAGGAAATACCAGCCAATAATAGATAAACAATAAATATTACAGTTGGAACATCATTGTATTTAGAACTTGGTTATAAGTAAAACCTTCCTATGTCTATTGAAACACTGCATTAAAAAAACAAGCAAACAAATAAAGAAAAACTTTTCAAAAAAAGAAATAAATGCAAGGATGGCTAACATCAATCTTTTAAAAACAATGCAAACAAGATAGTGAAAATGGCATTTGCATCATCCCTATATAATAGCACAGGCAAGAATTAACATATAGCAATATATATAACTATTCAATCACAACTGAGTTTGATTTATCCTATTTTTGTCTGCTAACATTCTACTACACTGTGTGTCTGTGCTATTATGTAGGGATGATGCAAATGCCATCCCTACTACCTTGTTTGCATTGTTTTTAAAAGATCGATATTAGCCATCCCTACATTTACTTCCGATGTTTAACGTTATAAGCCCTCGGACTTACTGCTTAACCATCGAGATGCGACCAACATATAATTTTTATACTTTTACTTAAATCTCAAGTGTTTTTTTTGTTTGCTTTATGCTTAGTGACCTTAAAAGGCATATGAAACATTCTTACCCGTATATTTTCATTAATTCTATTCACCAACCAAGTGAAGAGACGGCTGTACAACGCTTTACATAAGGCATCTCTTGCATATGTGGCCTATAGAAAGATGAAAAGAAACAGTAACTTATTAGTCACGTCGGAACGTACCAAACATTTTTTTTTGAGGGGGGGGGGGTGAGTCGTAAATGAATAGACTTTCAATAAAAAACGCCGACTGCATAGAAAAGACTAAATAGAAAAATGTTGTCGGCAAAATATTAGGTGAAGAGCATTGATATTCGGCCACAATTTAATTATTGAGACACGTGCTCCTCTGTTCCCGATTTCTACTCTATGCTTAGACTGGTTTAACAATGTGTTCTAGCATCTTTAACCCATAAAGTTTAAAGTATTAGTTCTGAAAAATACGTACCAAAAATCATTAAAACATAATATCTTCTCCAACAAATCTCTATCATATATGGGTGTAAAACATCATGGGCGCCATTTGGGATGAGGAAGAGGCAGTTGCTCTCTCCCTGTGTTTCACATCATTTTTTTTTATCTTAAGAACAATACACATATCTAAAACGTGTATTTTTATCTGTAAAATGAGGAAGAGGCAGTTGCTCTCTACCTGTGTTTCACATCATTTTTTTTTATCTTAAGAACAATACACATATCTAAAACGTGTATTTTTATCTGTAAAATGAGGAAGAGGCAGTTGCTCTCTACCTGTGTTTCATACCATTTTTTTTAATCTTAAGAACAATACACATATCTAAAACGTGTATTTTTATCTGTACAAAACACTTAAAGTTGCCCGCCCTACTGAAATCTGAAATGGCATCCCTAAAAAACATTAGACAAACAAACAGCAAGAAATCCACATATAGGAGGTTGTTCTTAATAGACAAGTATATCATTTCAATCTGGGAAGCTTTAGGCGATCTGCTTGACCTAACATATAAATGTGGCTGATAATGTATTCACACATTCATAAAAACCTAAGTTATTTTAACGTATTCGTGTCCAAGAAGTATATAATTAAGAATCAACCAAATTATAGATTTATAAATCCAACTAGGTAATAAATCCATAACTGTTTGTTTCAAAATTCCGTGTTAAGCTACAGAATAGATTTTTGCATATAGCCGTCCCTAATTTTCAATTACTAGACTCTTTTATAACATACCAATGGCTCCCGAGTGCAAAACGTATTTTTGCAGCAATGGATCAAGAACAAATTTTCAGATACACATTTAGGACACACTTACCAGTAAGCTATACTCGATCCCAACAAATCCATAAGGGCTAATGAGGATACATTGAGATGGACCAGTAAAAGACTCATTTCGAAGTTTTTTAAAATACCATCAGCAGAAAGTGTACTCGTTTCCAAATCAATAATATATTTATTCAGGCACTTGCACAAGGCAAACCGCAATTTATAACAGAAGAAGATGACTGCAATCTGTCGATTCTGATTCGCTGCAATTGTAAGGTACCTGTTCAGAGACGGAATCAGACGTTCATCGCTGCAAGTGGATCCTGCTTGGCCATAAACAGATTTCATAAGGTGGGCCTTGTGACATACGTCCACTGAGAAGCATTTCGTTCAAAGCAAGACAGAAAACAGCTCGCTTATACCAGTGTCCAGAGCATGTCCATCAGACCAATGACACATGGAGTAATCTTCTATTTTATAGATAAGTCATACTTCGTCCTGCAGCCATGTCTCAAACGTGTACTCATTTAAATAGAATCTGAAACCATACTTCAGCTTGATGAATAATAACACCACCCCACATGCTAATCTTGCCCTTTCACATAAAAAGATGGGAGTGACAAAATGGGTAGGTCTGCACACACATTAAACTTCAATCATATCAAATGTGCATGAGATGTTCTTGGCAGACGCTCTTTCAAAGAAGTGCTCGAAGTCTCTTCAAGATTTTACAAACATTCTGCTTTTATCGAAGAACATCCGTGTCAAGCTGCCTTTTCCATTGGTGGTATTATTATACTCATTCTTTCATATATATTCTACTATTATCCTTTCCTTAATTTACCTAATCATCTAACTTTTTAATATATTATACCAGTGTAAACATTTCTAATTTGTCATTGTAAAATTTGGTGTCATTTCCTATATATTCTTATAATAGAAGCATTAATGGGCTGGGTATGGCTAATTGGTTAGTGTGCCGAAGTGTGGATCCAAGGTTCACACTCCATTGCCGCAAAATTGCGCTCTTTACTTTGGGGCCGTCGGTTCGATAGAAGAGTGATGGTACAATTCCAATATTCGATTAGAATAACCCAAGAGTTTGGGTGGGTACTGTTGACTTGATACTTTTCTTCTAGTCTATCAGTTCAGAATCAGGAACTGCTAAAGCATTTAATCCTTGTGTAACAAAACAAATATATGCTAATTGCTTATTTATTTTTCTTATGAGAGTGAAGATTAAAGGGGGGACAGGGTTACTTACAAAAATGAAGATTAAAAAGGGGACAGGGTTACTTACAAAAATGAAGATTAAAAAGGGGACAGAGTTACTTACGAAAGTGAAGATTAAAGTAGGGACAGGGTGACTTATGATAACAATTTGCAAATTAACAATTATTTAAGGTTATTATTTAAAGCAAATATGATGTTTGATGAAGTAACCACTCTTCATTACAACAATCATAAAACATCCTCCAATCTTTTATTTATCCAATCACCTTTTCATCTATACACTCATCGAATACTTATTTTATCTAGCTAGTTACACATTTAATTATACTCCATTTATATTATTTTTTGGGCATACCCATTAAGATCTCACAAGTACATTACCTCAGAAGCAGAAAGGTCTGTGACTACAACATCATGCCGAGCTTCCAGGGTCCTCAGTGTTAAAGCAGCCTGGATTGCTCGAAAGTCTGCCTTTAGGAGCTCACATATATCATACAGTTCTATAAAGAATTAAAATATGCTATTTGTATTAAATTACAATAGTTACTACTCATAGTTTCATACAGTTTCATAGTATCACATTAGTTTGGTACACTCATTATGCATCACATACTTTAAAACAATAAAGGAACATTCATATAAACTCCACTGATTGACTATTTTGCTTAGCCCCCGCCCTATATTTATACTTATAGAACAATATATTTATTTGCAAATGCACAATAGACTGATTGTATGATGTGTAGGTGATCGCTTGAACCAGACGAATGAGGATACGCAGACTTAGCCTAGTTACGACTGCAACGCAACGGATTAAAGCAAGAATATCCGACTTTAAAAAGAGCATGGCACCAAATGTCTGCCTAGTAACGATGTCAAACACCGTTTACTTGCCCAGGTTGTAATTCTCTTCATGACACTAAAGAGTATATCTTAATAAGTCGCTTGTGTTCCTCTCGCAAAGTTCTCGATCAAACGCTACAAATCTCATATCGTTAGAAACTACTTTGTCGGAGAAGTCTGGATTGCATATTGGCTTTTGCATTCAGAATCACTTTACCTGTTTTTTGCTGAGTCAAACTTTTTAATGCAACGACGGCACAATGTCGTTGTCATCACGTTACTACTGGCTTCGATTCCAACTTAAGTTTTTTCTTATTTGCAAAGTATTTTACACAAACAAAACTTACCCCACGTGTAATTTCCTAAAAAAAATTAACATTACGCTAAAGACAATTCTTATGGTATTTCTCGACTTATTTAGGTCTAAAATACGTATGCGCAGTTCGTACAAAACCACATGGTTATCACTTTGTAAACATGCATTCAGATGTTCCTGCATCTTCAGCAAAATTTGCCTTCATTATAACTTTACATTTATAGACTGTTATAAACACCTTTTGGCCATTTTTTTCTTTAGTACAGGTTTTATTCTTTGTTTTTGTGACCTTCTTTGTTTCAACTCGTAAAACAGTGTCATACACTGAACGCTCATAACTGTTTCATACTCTGTACACTATTATGAATACCATTACTATATTCTATTGTTTACTTTACGTGTAGTTTTATTAAATAAAGTTATGTCTACGTGAGTTTGTTTTTTCTGACCGAGTAAAAGTTTATCGATCTAACACATAATGCCTCCAAGAAAGGGTAGCTTAAATGCTGTGCGTGCAAATGATAGAATAAGGAAAATTCAAGAAAAGGGTATGAAAACTACCGCAAATGTCTTGCAGGTCGCGGGTAGTATTTCTTTTTTTTTTACATATAATTTGTAATTATTTTATGCACTACTTCGCAGTTTTGGTATTAAACAAACACAGAAGCTCCTCTTAAATATTCTGGATTGCATGCACATTTGTATTGGTACTAAACCAGTTCTTAAGTATTCTTCTATTTCATGAAGAAAAGTCCTTCTGAACCATCTAAACTAGACGTGATTAATTAGCCTAGTTTTAACGTATCCTATATGCTTGTTATCACACCACGTTAATGGTAATTATCAACCCTGTTCTTACGTACCATACTCGTTCATGAGCGAACATCCTTCTGTGCCGTCCATGTTGGCGCGAGGGATGAACTGTAGATTCCCAAACTTCAACACACTGGAAACAATTTGAAAAGTAGCCAGAATTTCATCTTGAAGAAACCCAACGACCTCCATGGCTTTCTAAAGTATAACCCAAAAGTGTGTGAAAGTCATAATAAAAATAGAACATTATAATTATGGTGTAATTTTATAACTTATGAACATTTTATATTCATTATTTCTAAAATCAGCCAAGTGCTTACGGTAAACATAGTTTCAACTTTATTTTTAAAATCAAACTAAATTACATTTTGATAAAAATCCGAATTTCTAGTTATTAGGAGAAATGTCGTTTGACAAGATAGAAAAATTCCAAGTTACCTTCGTGAGTGTCCAGCTTGTCCTGTCATCAACAGTTTCTGTTTGTAAACACCTGTAATGGCTCAGTATACTGTAGTTTTCTAAATTTCTTTGGAGTTTTAGTGTTTCTAAAAACAAAATCACAAAATAAGTGCTTATTGAAAGATACGCGTTTTATTAAAAAATAACAAATAACAATAACGCAAATTAGAAGAGAAAATGTTGTTCGTCTGACGAATAGGAAAATTCCAAACATAGTTTTTAATGAAAAATTAAAAGGTAATATTTCACAGTAATACAACCATTAAAGATGTTAATAACTTTTAGTTATTTTATTATTAATAATATTGTTTAAGACGTGTTTTTTTATTATTCCCAAGGTTAATGAAAATAATTGGTATCACAATGGCTTTCCACTTCATTATTTTTTAACAAAATACTGAAAATAATATTTAAATGATTTTGTTCTAATTTCGTTTTGTTTCTTAAGTAATATGATAACACAGAAAGAAATTCTCCCAGTATTGTTTGTTCTTAGGTCTTAAGATCACATCGTGCTCAGGATTATTGCAGTAAAAGTAATAAAATGTTTTGTTTCTTAAGTAAAATGATAACACAGAAAGAAATTCTCTCAGTACTGTTTGTTCTTAGGTCTTAAGATCACACCGTGCTCAGGATTATTGCAGTAAAAGTAATAAAATGTTTTGTTTCTTAAGTAAAATGATAACACAGAAAGAAATTCTCTCAGTACTGTTTGTTCTTAGGTCTTAAGATCACATCGTGCTCAGGATTATTGCAGTAAAAGTAATAAAATGTTTTGTTTCTTTGTTATTAAGTGCAAAGCTACACAACATGTTATCTGTGCTCTGTCCATTGCGGGTATCAAACACTAATTTTTAGCATTATCAGCCGTCATTCTTACCATTGGGCCACCGTGAGGCAGTTTCTGTGCCCACCGCGGGTATCGAAACTCGGTTTTTAGCGTTATAAGCCGTCAGACTTACCGCTGAGGCACTGGGAGGGGAGCATAATAATGCGAGTTAAAATTGAATATTATCAGTTAGCTTGCTATAAAAAGAAAGGAGAAAAGTTTTAAAATTAGAAATTCTTACATAACCTTTAAATGACTATCATGTATATAAGGTAATTATTTCTTTCGGGGGGGGGGCTGCAATTGTCTAGTACCACTAATTCAGGTATAAATCGCAATAAAACGATCACAACACAATCTTGCACTACTTCAAAAAGTGACAAATATTTTGCCCCCTAGTGGCACAGCGGTATGTTTGTTTGTTTGTTTGTTTTTAATTATGCACAAAGCTACACAAGGGCTATCTGTGCTCTGCCCACCACGGGTATCGAAACCCGGTTTCTAGCGTTGTAAGTCTGCAGACATACCGCTGTGCCACTGGGGGGCCACAGCGGTATGTCTGCGGACTTAAAACATTAGAAACTGGGTTTCGATGCCCGTGGTGGACAGAGCACAGATAACCCATTGTGTAGCTTTGTGCTTCAACTACAAACAGACAGACAACTATTTTATATAATAACCCTTAGGTGTGGGGGAAAACCAATTTAATAGATTGAAAACGACATATCTTCAAATAGAAAACACGTGTTCAAAACTTTTAAGTAAAATATAGTGTTATTTGGAAAGTTTTTCCCTAAAACATAGAATTAAGATGATAGTAAAAAATAGTAGTTTGGGATTTTAAATAAATTAAATATTACATGAAGCTTACGGTATAACTACAAACTGGAGGCGTGAGACTACCTATCGTTTGTGCCAAGTCACAAGCACACAGTATCGCACATTTATATTTTCTTAAGTCTAAGTACTGACGAAATTGGCAGATTTATGATTAAAATGCAAATATAGAGATAGTGCTAACTGTTTGCACTGAAGGTCTGCCTAATATTACGCCAATATATTTTTAGATCGTATTTTTTATTTGCTGTTTTTGAACTTTAGCTGAAAATACAGTGTGCTTAGATGGGAAACATGTTGCCTTGATTAGCAATTTGCTGGTCTCTACCGCAAGAAAGTGGGGGTGGGGAACCTTTGATAGTGGGTCACTACACAAACCTGATTGTAATTGAATAACGTGAGACATGTATTGTGTTCCAGACCCAATCAATGAATGGTTGTCATAGTAACAGACTTTGTGATCCCATTCTTTCTCTCTGCCACGCTGCTAGACAAATTGATCAGTTTTTGAAGTGCAAGATTGACCATAATGTTTTTTACATTTAGATTGTCAAAAAACAAAACCAAAAAAACTTGTTAGCTCAGTTCTAGTTTATGTTTATAAAGTTTTGGACACACTGGAAGAATTTCGGCAGAAATATGTTTAACAAAACGTGAAACTACCATAAAAAACGTAGAATAACGATCATTCAATGTTTGAAATCGGAACAGGATTTTAAGACACTGATTTGAATAAAAGTCATAAATAAAACTAAGAATATCTATACCAGAAACTAAAGAAATTATAATACTACGACCTAGAATTGACCTTCAAGAATTTTGTTTCTTTTGTTTATGATTAAGCGAGTGCAAAGCTATATAATAGGCTATTTACACTGAGCCCAGCACGGGTATTGAGCTCCTATTTTTCGAGTTATATGCCCACAGAATTACCGCTGAGCTATCAGGGGACATTATTTTTGACAAGAATATCGAGTTAGATGTGTAACATACGATTAAAATATTAAAATCATACTAAATTAACAAACGTAGAAAAAGGAAATATCCTGGATTGTAGCTTTACATTGATTAAACAATGAATACACTAAAATCTAATTAAAAGCTATATATCTATTTTATGGTGATCTTAGAATTTACACCTGTTCATTATCGTGACAAGTCTACAAAGTAGAAGTCTGTCGCTAACATATTGTGATATCCTTATGATGTTGGGGAGGATGAATGCTTCTTCCCCAATTAAATCTGACTCGTGAATTCTATATAGAAGATACTTTTTTGAAAAGGGAGGAAAAAGAAATTAGTGAGGGAATAAGGAAAAAGGAAATGGACCCGAATTAAACCCTTTAATGTTTTTTTCTTTTCCTTTTGCAGATTGAATTTGGTACTAAACAATTCGACCAGTTGTTTGGTAAAATTAAGATCGAAGCTTAATCTTATATTTTGCATACAAACGCTATCAATACCGACAAAAATGTGCGAAATATTTTCCACTTACACGTTTATTAAACTAAAGCTTAATACTAAATTTCAACATAAACCAAAGATCGTTTGAAATATTATCTTACTTCGACTAAAATATACATTAATTCTACTTTTACTTTATATTTAAGATAGCAATGAGCAGTATTAGTTGATGATGCCATACATCATTATGTAAATTTAAGTTTTTTACATTAAGAAATACCGCAAAACTACAATTAAAAATATCTCCACTAATTTTCAAATAAATCATTACCAAGAAATCTTGCTAAAATAGATAGTCGGACAGTAATTTATTTAAAACTTATCGTAACAAGAGAACTTTCAAAACCCCTTAACTACCTAGCAAATGGAAGAGCATGAGATAAACAAATCGTACATTTAGAAAATGAAATTTACTGATAGGGATTCAAAGCAGAAGACTCTACGCTTCAGCTAGAGATTACTAAAAGCACTTGAAATAATGCACTTTCTAAATCAGTAGAAAAAAACTGTATTGGAAGCGTATCTTGGTCTATACTGATCAATATAGTTATTATCAAGATTTACAACGCTATACATCGGATTAAAGAAGAAAAAAATATACTTACTGAGAAAATGAATATCTGCTCCACTGAGTATTTGGTAAAATATGTGGAAATTTCTTTCTCCTTGGGACTGGGACACTACTCTAGACTGTAAGTAAGGATCAATTTACGATTACTGCATTACCCTACATTGTAATAGAGGGACACTACTCTAGACTGTAAGTAAGGATCAATTTACGATTACTGCATTACCCTACATTGTAAGGGTGAAATGGTTTACGTTTAGTTTACTGCGATTGAACATGTATAGAGGGACACTACTCTAGACTGTAAGTATGAAATGGTTTACATTTAGTCTACTGCACTTGGAAATGTATAGAGGGACACTACTCTAGACTGTAAGTAAGGATCAATTTACGATTACTGCATTACCCTACATTGTAAGGGTGAAATGGTTTACGTTTAGTTTACTGCACTTGGAAATGTATAGAGGGACACTACTCTAGACTGTAAGTATGAAATGGTTTACATTTAGTCTACTGCACTTGGAAATGTATAGAGGGACACTACTCTAGACTGTAAGTATGAAATGGTTTACATTTAGTATACTGCACTTGGACACTACTCTAGACTGTAAGTATGAAATGGTTTACATTTAGTATACTGCACTTGGACATGCAAAGAAGGTCACTACCTTAGACTTTAATGAACTTAATACAAAACAAAAACAAAATTAGAATGAAGCTAAAATTAAAAATAATTCTTCCATTATCATTCCTTGTTGTCATCGTTAAGTCATAATGGATAATGTCTTTGGAATATTCCCAATGTGAGAACAATAACGAGAGACTATACTGTTGTAGAAAAATTAATTAAGTTAGAAATACCAGCTGTTCTACTGTGGTTAGAAATATGGATTATCAGATCGTGGTTGGAAATACAAACTGTTGTATTGTTATTACTGTGGTTAAGAATATGAACTGTTCTAGTGTGGTAGATATACGAGTTGTTTTACTGTGGTTATTAGTAAAAACTGCTTAACTGTAATTAAGAATGTTATCTGTTCTACTGTAGTTACTGTTGTACTTTACAACTGTGGTTAAAAATACGAACTGTTATACTGTAGTTAGGAATATATACCATTCTTCTGTTGTAGATGACAATGTGACATTTCTTCTGGTTGTTAGAAATATTCGTTGTATTTTGTAGTTGAATATTTGTAGTAACTAACCGTGGTTGAAAATATGATTGTTTTATTGTGATTTACAATGTTATATGATGAAACTTTGTTGAATGGACGGCAACTGCCTGTTGTAGAAACACAAGTCCAGAGGACGACGTTTCGAAAGCCTTCCGCCTGAATACGAGAGGCGGGAAACTTTCGAAACGTCGTCCTCTACACTTGTGTTTTTACAACAGGCAGTTGCCGTCCATTCAACAAAGTTCATCACGAATACTCTGCCTAAACAATCTATCAAAGAATACAATATTATTTGTTTTATTCTAGTTTGAAATATGAGTAGTTACATTGTGTTTTAAATGTGGATTGTTGTATTGTGGTTTAAAATATAAATTGTTATATTGCTGTTTAAAAAATTAACAATAACTGTACGATTGGAGTTGAAACTATATATCGTTTTACTGACGTTGCACATATAAATTGTCTGTATTTATTTATTCTGTGTAAATATAAGTGTACGTTAAATATGTCATGATAACATCAATAAGTTTATTACATTTGTAACACGGATTTTATATTTTCACTAAAGCTTAATATGATTGCAAATATGAACTAATCTATTAAATAACTATTAAAATTGACAATGTCCTTACCTTTTCTAGAAGATCTGAAAAGTAAAACAGAAAAGAGCAAGATTGATTAGGGTTTACTTATAAGAAACTGTACAGTAAAATAATGAAATTAAAATAAGTTCTTGTATGTTAACTGACCACTTATTATATAACCCCACACATATACTTTTAGAACACTCTATTTATTTACCCATGCAAAACAAACTTATTACGTGGCGTAATTAATTGAGCCTAACTTATGTAGAGATGTAGTCATATCCAGGGTAAAATGTAACACAACGGGTAAGTTTGTTTCTTGTTATTCAGCTGAACGACACTTTATGCTTATAATGGGCGAAACGGTCAGGTCAGGGACCCTCTATGTTTCAGGCATAACCATCCCTAATTTTATATAGCAGACCAGAAGGAAGTCAACTAATGGATATCACACATCTCCTAACATAACTACTTTTAACCAAATAGTGGGATTGACTGTCACTGTTATAACACACCAATAGCTAAAAGTGCGAAAAGTATTTCATGGCATCATGTCTCGAACAGAAAAAAGGAAACATTCTGTTAAATAAAACTAAGGCTTATAAGCCACATACATGTTATCACTTTTATTGGTGTAATTGGCAATTCGCGAAACTACTCCCAAATGCTCATTTACTATAAAAATATTTTTGTCCATTCTCCATGACTCTAAAGTGACAGATACTTGGATTCGTGATATCTTCGTTAATGTTTTTAGTTTTTTTTATTCTAACAACTTGTCAGTTATAATGTATGTTTTCATTAAAAAAATAAGATTTTAAAAAATGTTCAGCCTAATTTGGTTCACTTAGTATATGATAACATTATGAGAATACAGTTCATCATTACTTTTCTCAAGTGCTTTGAAAAGCACAATTCAACTTTTCTTTGTTCAACTAATACTTAATAGAAGGGCAACAATGAAAGCACAGCTCGCACTTATTTAAATCAACAACAGTAAAAGCTCTTAAGGCATAACAATGATGACCAATATGTATGGTGATCTACATTTATTTAGTATGTGAAGATATAAAATAACGTTTTACATGTTACAGAAACATTTTTATTATATTTGAAACATAGAACAGTACAGTTTAATTTCATACGGGTATGGATTAATCTACCGTTATTGGGAATGCCTGTTGAATATTATTAAAATATATATTATTCTGAAAGTAACTTTTGCGTTTAGAATTATCACGTAATCTTTAAACATAAATAAACTGTACTATGTTAAATCGCTACACAGTGAATATGGCTTTACGTTGGTTCATTATTTTGTTGTTTTTAAGCATAAAGCTACACAATAGACGATCTGTGCTCTGCCCACCGAGAGTATCTAAACCTAACTTTTAGTGTTTGAGCCACTGGGAGGCGGTGGTGGCGACTTCACAAATTAGCCGTAGGCGCCGAAAATACTTTTCCCGGGGTGTAGGAGGGGACGCAGAATAATTATCATGTGAAGTTTATTAGGCCTGCATATTGCGTACTTTTCCTGATTGGGATGGTGGGGGGGGGGGCTCCCATCTATCTGGACTCTATGGAATGACCTAATATTCTTATTGACCTTGTCAATGTTTGGACGCAATCCTTTTTAAGATTTCTACTCTTTAGTTTGTTTTGAAACGTTTTTATCACTTGAAATTAAACCAATTAAAAAAAGGAATATCCAAAGAAATTCTGTAATCCGGCACAATTAAACTCAAGTGTATTTGTATTTTTAATAAGAAAAATGGTTATCATTATGTCAATACATTCTTTCATTTCTTTTTTCTTTTGAAGTTTAGCTTGGCGTAGCCCTACACTTAAATGCATCTGTTTTGCTAAAAAATATATTCTCGTTTTCACTGAGATATTACGAAGTAATTTCATTGATGATCACAGAATAATATAAAATCCAGAGTTACATATATAAATACACATAAAGTATGGAAAGAAAACTATACGAATATTGTTTTTTGAAAGAATCAAAGTTTAGTTGTTTGTTTTTTTTAATTTCGCGCAAAGCTACACGAGGACTATCTGCGCTAGGCGTCCCTAATTTAGTAGTGTAAAACAAGAGGGAAGGCAGCTAGTCATCACCACTCACCGCCAACTCTTTTACAAACGTCACATTATAACGCCCCCACGGCTGAAAGAGCGAGCATGTTCGGTGTGACGGGGATTCGAACCCGCGACCCTCAGATTGTGAGTCGAGCGCCTTAACCACCTGGCCATGTCGGGCCAAATGTTTAATTTCAGCTTTGCAATATAGAACCATTTTATAAAATAATTAGCTATACATAATGTTAACAGTTGTATTGTATAAATTATTGTATATATAT